GAGAACACAGTGATGATGATGTCCATCCTTGCAGGGCCGGGCTGTGGCACTGCTTCAGTCCTCTCCCTGCGTTTGCTGGCGGAAACCCTGTCCACATTTGTTGATCTCTCTCTCACTTGTTCAGCTGTGTTCTGCTCTTGGCCATCCGTGGACGGTAGCCCACCAGGCTCCTCTGTCCACGGGGATTCTCAGGCAAGAATACTGAGGTGGGTTGCCATTTCCTTCTCCAGGAGATCTTGACCCAGGGAGGGAACCTGCATCTGCCGCATTGGCAGGCGGATTCTTTACCACTGAGCCACCTGGAAGCTTTTGTCGAGGGGAGGCTATAAATGCCAGTGGATTTGAAGTGGGGGGGAGTGTGTGATTTGTGGAGGGCCATGCCAGGCACTCTTATCTTTGAGACCGAACAAACTGCAGCCCAGCCTTTGATCAGATGGAGATAAGGTTGGATTAAGACCTTTTTTTAAAACTAATACTAGACTCTAACCACCCCCGCCCCCTCATTTTCAACAATGGACTTACCACTCTTGAGCACCTACTGTGTGCCAGGCGGTTTACCCACATCACTTTCTCATCGAGCCCTCGGAACCGCCCAGAGAGCCTGCTCTTTACCGACGTAACCGGCCTAGACCGTGGGCCTAGTGGCCTTCCCCAGCCGCGGCGCAGTATTGGAAGCGACAACTGTGGGGAGGGCGCGGGGCGTTGCAGTTCCCGCCGCGCCCGCCCGCCCGCCGGGAAGGCGGCCGCCGTGGGGACCTGCAACGGCGGTGGCGGCGGCGGGACGGGGACTGGTCCGCCCGCGGGGCAGCTAGACAGGCGGGAACGGCAGTCGGGGAGCCGGAGGCGGCCGCCGGGGAGAAGCTGCCGCCGCCGCCGCCGCCGCGCGCACTCCTCCTCCCTCTCCCTCCTCCCCTCTGCACATGGTCTCCTTTGTCCTGTCGCCGCCGCCGCCGCCTCGCTCTTAGCTCCGCGCGCTGAGGCCGCAGCTCGGGCCGCTCCTCTCCGCCTCGCCCGGGACGCCCCTCGAGTCCCCACCGGCCCCGCGCGCCGCAGGAGCAGCCGGGAGGCAGCTGGGCGAACGCGGGCCGGGCGCTCTCTCCCGGCCGCCCGCCGGCTGCCCGCCTGGCCTCGGCCGCGCTGGATGTACGCGCGGCGCGGGCGCTCGGCCGCCCCGGAGCCGCCGCTCGTTTGGGATTTGGTTCGCGTGCACTCGCTTCCAGACTTTCGCCGAGAAAGGAGCCGAGACCCGCGCGGACCGAGCCCGGTCGGAGTTGGGCGTTTTCTCTTCGTGTTTGGCTGATTTTACCCCTGGTCTGTGACGATCCCCCCACCACGAGCCTTGCTTTGGAACCAAACCATGAACTTGGGGCTGACAGGACCACTTAACCCTTGGCGACCAGGTAATGCAGCCCTGGAGGCGCGCGGCTGCCTCGCTCGGCGCCCGCGGTCGGAAGGGAGTCGGGGGTCTTTTGTCGGCGGCGGCCGGGCAGGGGTGGCAGGGGCCGCAGGGGCGGGCGGGCTCCTCGCGTCTGGCGCGCCCGAGGCCCCGCCACCACCCACCCCTCCTCCCTCCTGCCCGGCCGCCAGCCTTTGTACTTTTCACCCCTGACTCTCCGGGCTCGGGCGGCCGGAGCTGCGCCGTGGTGCCCGGGGACCTGAGCCGCCCCGGCGCCACCCGCCCCGAGGGGCTCCGCCTGCCTTCAGCTCGGGCCAGGCCGGCGCCGGCTTGGGCTGGAGACCTAGGCTGCGCTCGCCGCCGGTTCCCGAGTAGCGCTTCCCCGCGCCGAGGTCGGGATGCTTGCCCGCACGCGGTGCCAAGGGAAGCGAAAGGAGATCTGGGCTCGGAATCGCCACAGCTGGGCAGAGAACTCGCGCTTAAGTTTCGAGGATGTTTCTCTTTTCTTGGAGATCCCCTTCTCATGCGGGTGCGGGTGCGGGTGCTCGGGGCCGACCCCGAGATCCGAGGCCGAAGGGAATTAAGATGGACCTCGAACCGGAGTGGCCGCGTCCCACCCCTGTCTACTCGGAAGGCTTTTATTCGTTTTCCTCATTCTCTGTGTTCCTTTCTTCAATCTGTTTGACTAGTTTAACTTTTCTTTAAACACCAGGTACAGCGTCGAGTCATTTTTCAGTGTGGTGGGTTTCTTTTTTAATTTTATCTATTTCCATCCCCCTCCCCCAAATAAAAAGCAGTCAAAAGACAGCTTTTTTTTTTTCCCTATCATTTTTAGATATAGCGGCTACAACGCCCTGGCTTTGCAAAACCAAGTGAGGGGGATGAAGCGAAATGGCGAGCGAAATCTTTAGTATGTAAGGGTGCCCCCGTGTTAAGAGAGGAGAGACGCAAAAGCTATGCTCGCCAGCTAACTCTTGGCTCACCAGGTTTCCATTAGTCGTCCCTGATTTTTTTTTTTTTTTTAAATCAGGGAAAAGGTCCAGGTAATATAAAGAACTGCAGATTTTTCTCTTAAAAACAATGAAAAAGAAAACTAGCATTAAGATCCCAGAAACCGCAAATTTGCACAAATGTTTTAGAGCGCAAGTCAAATTTGAAAGTTTATGGAGAAAGAAGCAAAGCATTTCCTTGTAGTTCCTGCTTAAGACTTTGGCGGAGAAGCTCTCTTCTGACTTTTCGGGACTGTGGTCCGCCATAGTTGGAACCGCCTGGATGGGAGAAAAAGGGCTCCAGGTCATTTCTCTGATTAGCCGAAGTCCCATTACCGTCCTTTTCTTTGGGGTGTTTTTCACGGAGGCCTCTTTGAGACGCCCACCCCCACCCCTCCCCAGTTGCAAAAGGGCTTTGTGACATGTATCAGAAAATTAAAGGGCTGGAGAGGCTTTTATTAGAGAACATTACTCCTAAGTCCTTCGGAATATCCTGTCAGACTCATTTCCTGAATAACTTACTGGATGGCATCATAATAATCACATCCTCTAAGTTTGCTTCAGACATAAGGATCACTAAACTGGCTCCTTGAGAATATGGTGTGGAGCTGAGGCTAGAGTAGCAAGGCCGGGGAGGGTGTGCAAGCCAGCCAGAGGGCCTCTTCACCTCCAGCTTCTGTCCTGTTTGATCTCTCCCTCGTCTTACACACACACCCCAAGTGCAAATAAAAGCTGGATCAGGAGCCTCTGTCCTCCCCGGGTGTGTTTTGCGTTGATGATACAATACCTCGTTTCTGTGGTGCTTTGGCCCAGTGAGACTCGTTTTAATAGGTAGTCCTCAAATCTGCAAGGGTTATTGCATTTTGGCAAACTGATTTAATTAACAGCCTCTCCCCCTTTTTCCTTTTAAAAATAGCAGCTGTAGTGTAAGCCATGAATTTAACATAGCCATTCTCATTTGAAGAGACACTTTTTCATCAAGTAATGAATGGTGAAATGCTCTTTGCTCCAAGTTTTTAGCTGGAAACTGGTGTTCCTAGAAATCTCACTAAATGTTACAATAGGACAACACTGTTTCTGTGATTTTTGCTTCTATACCTCAGTGTTCTTGATTTGTTTCATGCATAGCTTGTTTCCCCCTCCATGCAGTACTTTTTTTGGCGGTTTATTTTTATGAAAAGCTACTATGGTATGCAATTTTATTTAAAATGGCAGGAAGGCCCTTGGCGTATTTTTTATTCATGCAAAATAAAAGGAAGCATCCATCTAGGATTTATTTTATTTTAAACTGCTTATGTATAAGTGTATGTAGTTCAGCACTTGTTTTGCACATACATTCATGTTTTCTTCATCTATTAATCTTCAGAACCACCCTTACAGTGGGAAGATTAGAATTAAAATAAAGGGGGAAATAGTCATAGTAACAATATTTTATGCCTTTCTGTATCACTTACATTGAGAACTAGAACTTGTTCGCTTCAGACATAAGGATCACACAGGAATATCTCATCTTTGTCAACATGGCACAAAAAGACTAAATTGAGTATCTTCTTTGTCCCCAAAAGCCAGCTCCAGAGTCTGAATATGTTGTATTTCAGATTCTCCCCTCCCTCTACTTCTTATATTTTCTCTAGATTTATTCACCATTCTATGCTTTGTCAAAAAATGCGTCTCTCTGTGTAAAGTGTGAAAATCAGTGATTTCTTACAATGGTTGGGTAGCAAAAATAGCATAAATATAACCATTATAACTTTAAATGCAGGTACATTCTCTAATTATTCCATAATGGAGCTGCTTAATTTTAGTGTTGTTTTTTTTTTTTTAATTTTTCAAATTGTAGAAGTACAGTGCTTCTGAAACATCATAGCATTTTCCTCCAAACCGACTTTATGTTGATTTTCCAGAACATTAGTGTATAATTTAAATTGGCTTTACTCTTGCTGTTTAAACAGGCTTATTTCACTTTCCTGGAGCCACTGTAATAATTAGCAGACATGATTTCTAGAAAATGGAAAGGAAATAATGCTGACAGTGTATATAGTGTCAGCGTGTTGGGCAGGTCGGCTGGGTTTCATTTCAACACCAAGGTCGTCCTGGTTACCACAGGGGACAAGGACCTCGGGGTCATCAGATAAATCTTTAAAAACGAATTTCAGGGAGTGCTGGACAACACTTTTTAGTGAGGAGAGGCTTAGTGTTAAATAATAGGCATTTCTGGTTTCTGAGAGAAAATTGAAGAACAGGCATGTCTGCAAATGTGGAAAAAAGTACCATTTCCAAAGTAATGATCTGTCAATGAATTGCAAAATCATTATGTGAATGAGCTGAATTGCTTTGTGTATCATCTCATAGAAATATGTTTTGCACAGATAATATGTCTAATAAGGACACATTTTTAAAATCAGATTTTTTTCCCCCTTAGCAAATAGCTGCACTGCAGGTCTGCCTCATGCAGTCAACCAGCACCACCTTATGGAGGATTGGGGGAAATTACTGCTTTCCTTTTCAGGCTTTTCAAAAATGGAGTAAATTGATTTAAAATAATAGTAGTGATGCTAGTGACGACAGTATTCATGACAACGATAACTCTTTTTCCCCCGCTTCTTGTGTTGCAGGCCTCAGATGCCAGCTCTGAGAAACTCTTCAATACTGTTATAAACAAAGGTAAGAGCCCTTAAATCCGAGCTGTAGTTTATTTTCCGATTTGTTCTGTTGTCTTTGCCTTGAATGAAAGCAGAAAGAACAATGGTCATCCCTTACCATTCTGGAGCTCCTGTTCATAATTGTATTTTTGCTTGAGACAGAATCTGTGCTTTCCTGATGTTTCCCAAAACAGTTTATTGTAAAAGAACACATTGAATCCTTATTTAAATTGATTTGCCTAAGAAATGACTACGTCTCTGTGACTTTCGTTTAATGTAGGAAGTGATCATGGAGAATAATCATTCTCAGGATGCCTTAACTTTATTGTTAGTTATCAACTACCCAGCAGTTGGAGAACGATAAATAGCTGGTTTGTACTGCAGACTCTAATAACCAGTACATGTTTAGTATTCACAGGATTATGGTCATAAACCAAGCCTTACTCTGCTGTGGGCTTTCTGTGAAGTTAATAAACGAGCAAGAGGGCAAAATTTAAATACGTGCTATTCCATTAATTTCTTCCAAACTGCAGTAGAGGCTGAGAGGCTAATGATATTGCAGTACATTAAGGGGAAACTTACCTTAAATCACTACCGATAGGTTTCTGGGCGGTTTTCATTGGTTGCAGTATTGTTGGGAATAATGAAATTTAAGGGAACTTCTAATACCGGGTTTTTGCAAAGATGTATTCTTTGAAAGGTATAAACTATATGAATTCTTTGATCTCTTCCTCTCCACCGTAGAACGTGATGTTTGCATCATAATTGCTAAATGCAGAATGTATGCTTCCTGCCCTGGTCACCTTCTGTGCTACATGGAAGATACTGGCTAGCTTGAACAGGGTTGGGCCTTCACAAAGTGATATTTGAAACCGTGTCCACATTCTCCACTGGCCTTGGCTAGCGTTTTTGCTAGCTGGTTAGTCAGACACATTCCGAAGTGCAGTTATTTTGAGCTCCCCGATTATTTTAGAATTCGAACCAACTGCAATTTTAAATAGTACATTATGTTTAGCGTTCCCTGGAGGTGTGCATGCTTATGTGATTGCTGTTACTCCCAGAATTATTGTCATATTGAATTTTATCTTTTTTTATTGCATAATGGAGTATTCCATTTTTATATTTCATCGTATATTTTGATGGACTGAAAGTTTGTATAAATTTGTTGTCCATAATGCTAAAAGCCCAATAAAAGAAGATACGTGGCAGTTCATAGCGTACAGGGCTCGTATGGGAAAACGTGCGATTGTTTGTTGCTCTTTTTGACAAGGCAAGAGGATGGTAGATGGTCGTGGGGCCCTGTAATACAGGAGAAGGACCCCGCGGCGGACCTGAGGTCCTCCAAAGGAGGTGCTCTGTCTCAGTAGCACTCGCCCCACCCGCTTCCACGGGACCCCCGCAGCCCGCGTGACTGTGTCTGTCTTTTGCCAGCTTGCTGGGAAAGCTCTGGAATGTGTGTCCCCTCTCTGGGATCAGCCAGCCCTGGCCTGAGAGTTGGCTCTGCATTGAGGCCCGGCTGCCCTCAGCGGGCTGAAAGCCGCCCTTCAGGGCGCAGGAGGAGGGGTGGGTGGTGAGCCACCTTGTGTGACCTCCCTCCCTCTGCGTCTTCCCTGCTGCTCCCCCCACCCCGCGCCCCCCTGCCCCCTTTCCAATCAAACGTCTCCCACATCCTTATTTTTGTTTACTTACAGAGTGTGATTTGTGGCATCTATTTGGTTGTGAATAGTCCTCCTTCTGACAGGGTGCCTTTCTTCTGAGCTGCTTTTCTGGGGGTGATTTAGTTGCCTTGAAAGGATTAAGGTTTCTTTGTGTACACTAAAATCAACACAGGCTTTTTTATTTTTTTTTTCCCCTAAGCTTTACTTGGGAAACCATACACAAATAAGCATTTTAGTTGATGGCAGATTATTCCTTTGCCCCTTATTTCCATCAAAATGGCCTTTCTTGGCTCCTCCAGAGTTTCCCCTTAACGCCTTATGCTAATTCCTGTTGGTAACATGAATGACAAGAGCCGGAATCCACGCAAATCCAGGTGGTGCCAAGCAGAGGGACTGGTATCCAGCACCCGCCCTCCTCCCTGGAGAGAAAGAGATGAAGCCGGGGTGGGGGGGAGGGAGGGAAGCGTGGGGGCAGTTTTGTTAAGGGGATTAGTATTCACACTGCTAAATATCGGGAAAACAAGTTCCAAAAGACAGGTGCAGGGAGTCTTGCTATGTGCCTGTGGGTTTGGGTCTGTTTTTCACTCTGGGTAGTGGCAGTGTTTACTGGATGGATGGTTGACAAGGCCTTCAAGGAACTGTCAGCTTCAGGCGCATCAAGTTCAAGTTCTGTAAAAGTGGCCTGCCCCGCCCGCAAGTCTGGTCTCCCGACTCTGTCCAGTATTCTTAGCCAAGAGCAATAAAAAGCCATGTAAGAAAGGGCAAATTTACACCAGGTAACAAACACCGCTGGGAGAATCCTCAAAGCCTGGGCTTATTGAACAGTCTGACAAGAGTGCTGACACGTGTATGCTTCCCCCCTCCAGATGTTTAAAGCCACACATCACCTCTCCCTCTCTGGAGCCCCACCGGGCTCTGGCCTTCCAGAAGCGTGGCTTTAAGCTGCTGGCGAGATTATGCTGCTGAGCCCCGGCGGCAGGCAGATTTGGTCCATAAAATTTCACTGTGGGAGGGCAGTGCTAATCTCACAAGCTGATTGTGGTGGGGTGTTGGTGGGGGCAAGCTTTGATGTTGGGCCCCCGAGGTCGGGGGGGATGTAGGTCTGACTGAAGCCACAGGGGTCATGGCTCAAGTCCCATCAGTCTGTTTGTGAGCCGGAGTAAATCGTTTCGCCTCTTTAGGTCAGATTTTTCAATCATAGCAGAATGGAATCCTGGGCCAATGTGTCTGGTGGGGATAAGACAATTAGTTGGTGAGGGGGAGGGGCTGAAACAGAGTAGGCACCTCGAAGGTTTTCTATCCCTCTGCCTCTTTGATCTTGTTCTGATTCTCTCTGTTGTCGAGCCCGTCCGATTTAATAGAGGACTAGTAAGATTTTGGTGTTTAGGTGTTCCAAATCATTACTTCCTTCTGATGCCTTTTATTTCACATTTTGAAAGAAATTAATCAAACGGCACGTGCTTGTCGGTACACACGACTTGCTCAGTGAGAATTGAGCTTGTCCAAAGGTGTGGGGAGATGAACCTCCAAAGTGCAAGGCTTAGGGATGGAAACATTTAAGAAAAAAAAAAATAGTAACTTTAATCAAGGTCATGATTGCTGTATTTAATCTTTATGTGTTCAAATGTTTACAGGATGTTCATGTGAATTTTATGAATCCTTCTGTCTTTGTGACTCAACCATCTGCCAAAGGAAAAATTGATTTTCCCAATGAGGCAGAGAGACTGAGTTCTTGTCCATATTTAGTGGGTTGAACTGCTACAGTAGCAACAGGATGTGTACCCCAAATTCTGGACTGTTTGTCCTTAAAAGGAGAGAACTTATCGGTCAATTCAATGTGTCCAGCCAGCATTTATTACTCTTCTTTACCTACTCTAAGGGCTTCCCAGGTGGCACAGTGGTGAAGAGTCCTCCTGCCAATGCAGGAGGCACAGCAGATGCAGGTTTGATCCCTGGGCTGGGAAGATCCTCTGCAGGAGGAATAGCCAATCTGCTCAACTATTCTTGCCTGGAAAATTCCATGGACAGAGGAGCCCGGCACACTATGGTCCATGAGGTCGCAGAGTCAGACACAACTGAGAACACACTCAACACACCTACTCTAGGCTCTATTTCTTGGGGATTTTGCCACTTTGATATATAAGCAGAAATGCAGAAAGTGAGCATTAGTAGACATGCCCATCCTGCCACCATCATTAATCTCTTTTAATCTCTGAAGTTGCTCCAAGGTGGAGCTTCCTGGAGGAAAGAAAAGAAGGGAAGCCATGTGTGGAAGGGAGAAGAACAAAAGTCAGGTGCTCTCTGGGGCCCTCTGTGTACCTGGTCCCAGCCCTGGTGGGGGCCATGGTCTAGGTTAGGGGCAGAGAAAAGGCCCCAAGTTGCCTCTTTTCCAAGATCTGTCCTGCAGCTGAGACAAGTCAGAGATGAGACGGCCAGGAGGTGTATTTGACCCTATCGCTCTGTGAAAGCTGTGCTTCTCCTGAGTAGCTGGGGTGGGGATTGATCCAGGAAGGGCAGAGGGCCCTGGTCTGTGCTCCCTTCTGCAGGGAGTGAGCACCCCCTGTCTACTGAAATGTGGCCAGCGGAGGAGCAGACACCGTCCTCGGTCAGACTTCCATCTCCCCTGCCCCAGGGCAGCCCCGAGACTCTGGCGGGCACTCACTCCTCACGCTGAGCACCAGACGCAGCGCTGAAGCCACCTCGATCTCACTGACCAGGACTGGCTGGCCCCTCAGGCCTCACCAGACCTCCTAGCAGACACACTGGCCTCTTCTTGGGGTCGATTTTGTCCTGACGGGTCTCCATGGGACACAGATGAGGCCGGAGCATTTAGATTTAGTGTAGGGCCTTTGGGTATCTTTGACAATATGGTTTTATCACCAGTGTAGATGGAAAACCAGGCTAAGAAAATTAGTTGAGGTTTGAGATGAGGCAAGAAAAAAGTTTCTGAAGATGCTGCTTGTGAATGAGGTTCAGGAAGTGAGGACCTAATAAAAATCTTTTCATGGTGATGATCTCACTTCACTCATCAAGTTTAGACACGAAGGGGGAGTCCCTTGGTTTGGTGAGAAGTAAAGCTAAGAGTTACCACCAGGGCTCCTCCCCTAAAATAGTTCTGGGCTTTCTGTGTAAGTGAAAACAGTGCAGTTGAGGGTGGGGTTAAGTGAAATCGCTCAGTCGTGTCCGACTCTTTGCGACCCCATGGACTGTAGCCTACCAGGTTTCTCCATCCGTGAGATTTTCCAGGCAAGGGTACTGGAGTGTGTTGCCATTTCCTTCTCCAGGGGATCTTCCCAACCCAGGGATCAAACCCGGGTCTCCTGCATTGCAGACAGACGCTTTACCCTCTGAGCCACCAGGAAAA